GGAACTTTCGTTCATAATGTTCCCAGTGTTACTAGGGGGTTTCCCCACAGCTTCACCGATGGTGTTTTTATGATTGTTTGATCTCATAGTGTTCCCACGAGTAGCTAGGGTTAGTCAGTCCACTTCTACAGAGCCCCGCATGTAGAAGTAAGAGGTAAATACAATGGTGTGCCCCCTGGTGCTCCAAGGTTGAGACCAGTAGAGGCTAGTCTCTATCTAGCCACGCATCCCTTTGACCTGGTCCCACCATCGTAGGATTTAGGTTTTTTTGGTGAGGTTGTCTCCTCTTGGTCCGGGCGGTTAAGCCAAGACCCCCCCACACCCTCTACCCGCGAGACTTGACCACAGACAGTAGAAGATGCCTGGTTAAATGTCTTGGTGCAATTCCCTGGCCACGACACTACAGCCAGAGACAAGACAATGAGTGAGATGCTTCTTAGACCAAGCCAAAGTGCTAGAGGTGATTCCCCTCAGCACCTGACCAGGAGCTTCCCCACCAACGACAAGGTCTTGCATCTCCTAGGGGAAGTAACCTAATTAAGTATGTCGATCTTTCTGTGTTCTTAAAAGCAGTATTTTGTTGCAGTAATACCCTACTACTATTTTCTATGTAGACGATTTCCTCTGTCTCTAGTATTTTGTGTTCCAATATGTCCTTCATTTGTACAACTCGTTCATTTAGTCTTCGCATAAGTGTCGTATTCTCTATTAAATTTGGATCAATAACAACGGCAATGTCTTTCTCAACGGCAATGTCTTCCAATACTGTCTATAAATTGCCCGTTTTTACCGACGTCCTGATAAACGCGTTGTCCTCCCATTCTATGTTTAACAATTCTTTAAGATTTTAGGGATCAATATTTCTTGCACGTTTATCAATATCCTGTAGCGTTTGTGCCTTCTTGCATTTGTTACATTTATTATGCTGGATATACGTAGCAGATCCATCATGGTTTTCTTTTTCCATTCGAGCAATATTACTCCGTAGCTCTTTATTTTCATCTTGGAATTTACACACTTCGCTCTGTGCCTTCATACTTGATTCAAGCCAACTTGTAATTTTCTCACTTTTGATTTTCTCAGCATATAAACTAAGACGGCTGCTGATTTCGCAAAATTTTTTTTTAGGTTTATATGTGTCCTTAATTAATTTTTCCAATTGCTTTATCTGCGTGGTCAAGCTATCTATTATACTAATAACAGATTTTCCAAACTTACTTGGTTCGTCGAGCCCAGCCGTTGGTGATTCTTCTACTCTTTTTCTCTTGAAGAAATTATAGGTTATTCCCGTATGGCTTTTATTCGGTTGTTCTACCAATAAGCTTGCTTCGGGTAAAGAATTTGCTCTATCTCTTGGCGGTGTTCTTATTAAAGAATCTCCTCTCTTAAATGGATCAAATGTTTCTATATTCTTTATTGTTTCGGGATTATCAATGTCTCCAGGGTTTTGATCAAATAAATCAAGCCCTTTACCAGTAGTAGAGAAACTCCTTTCGGCCTGGTTATCCACCAAAGAGGAGCCGCAGTCGCTGGATGACGGTCCGGGAGGGCCTGCTTGACCACCACTAACCCGTACCGGTACTGGGCTTCCGACACCCTGCACCGTAAGTTTGGTCGCTATAGGTTTCATTCCATATATGACACGTTTGCATTTCTCTTTGTCTCGTCCCTCAGCCCTCGAACTGTGCGGTATGGGAGGCCCTACCAGCAGCTAAACTGCCACCGACATAGGTCTCAGGATCATTGGGACACACAAGCCCTCCCACCACGACAAAGTGAAAATGCGCGGGGGGTGTCTAATGGGTATTTGGTTGGATTTATGTGTATGTTGGTCAATTTTTATATTATTATTATTATTATGTTGAAAATATAAGAAATTCATTAACATAATCAATAATATTTAAAGAACAGTAAATAATCTTCCTAGCAATTATAGAAAACAAAGTTATAAGAAAACGAGGATTTATTCATAAGTACCTATAAATACTTCAACCTTTAAAAGGCGACTGAGTTTCAGTAAAAAGTAAATTGGTAACGTTATTGCCATTTATTTCTCAAATTTAACATATTAATTAATCAATATATTATAAATTTGTTTTAATTTTTAAATTTAAGTAAACTGCTTGAATGATAAAATATATTTTCATGTTACGCCACTGGCACCCAGAAAAGCTTCGGCGCCATATGCGACAACCAGTAGTAGGTCTCCTGTCTATGACCGAAATCCTCCTTCCTTTTCATTCTTATTCAATGGTCCGTACGAATATTTCATAAAAAGTACGCTGAATCCGCTTTTTAACTGTAATTGTATGAATATCCGATCTGTGGAGATTTGAAGACCTTTTTACAGTATGCAGTTCAGAGTATGGTTCGTATTTTACCTGAGTTTTTCTTGGAGTATATCACCTTACTCCTGTTTTTTTATTTGTTCTGATAAGGTTTTGGTTAATATTAAATTACTGGATTGGATCGGTAGTAATATGGATCTAAGTAATTATATGGTACATAGTAATTACATATATGGGACACAGTAATTATATGCCGCTTAATTAACGATTTTTTTAATTATTTGTGTGTTTGTTTATGTGCTTTTTTGTTTTGTGAATGCTTTGTCGATGAAGCTGTTTTGGCTTTTTGTACAATAAAGCGTTGTTTTTTTTAATTTCATCCACTTTCATTTTGTATGGACCTACACAGACCTTAAGACACTATTCATGATATTACGTTTGTTCTTTTACTGATATCGAAGACTTCTGCTGCCATAGTCATCTGCTTCCACTTCTGTTATTCTGGAGACTACCTACCTAACATCTACCTGTTTCAAGCCATCTGGAATTCCAGTTGCTTAAGCCAGTACGATAATTCATCATAAAAAACTATACAGATGTCATAAGTTTGATACACAAGATTCTCTTTTATTTTACAATTTTTGAGACAACAGTTTTAATATCTCTGTAGACTCTGTAAATTACTACTATTTATCCCATATATTATAGTCAAAATTACCTTTCAGTTAACGTTTTAAGTTTTAATTTGAATTAAACAGTACATTTTACTTTGTTATAATATTTTATATGAAAATTTTGACATATGTTTAATAGATATTAACACGTATACATTCTTGAAGGTTTTTGTACACGACATGTTTCGAAACATCATCGTATTGATAAATACATAAATTTCACTGTTTTTATATTAAGTAGTATAGTTCGAAGAATACAGTTACTAAATTCGAATTTATTTAAAATAACTTCCGTTTTTTTTGGGATCATTGAAACTAACCGATACTTGTGTTCGTTTTTCAATAAATGTTTAATGAAGGATAGTTATCTCTGACTTTTATTCCTGATAAACCTAATAGACCCTTATTACTGTTGATTACTTTATTCTAGCTATCTTGTGATAAAATTTTTACCTTTTTCATAAACAAAGTAAGTGGCGCCCTTTTTACTGTCTTTGGCCCTATCTATACGAATACTTAACATCAATATTAAAATCTTTGTAGCCGAAATATTAACATTTTTTTAATTTAATATTTAACAATATTACAAAGTCACTGTGAACCAGAAGCCTTACCTACGAACCCAGCTTTCCTCTAACCCTGAGCAACGGATACCTTTTTCTGTCTGTTTGGGTGATGACAGAAAAAGTGGTCACACTTAAGGTTGTCGCCCACTAGACCGCTGCGCTGCGCGGCGTTGGGAAGAGAATTTTTTCCGGCTGCGAAGGGACTGCGCCCACTATAGCGCGCTTTTGAAACGCGGCAACGCTATTTAGTTATAGTCGAAGTGTTTTTTACTTACTGTAGTTTAGTTTTTAAAGCAATGAGTTCAAGTACGGACGAAAGCGTATTTTTTGTGCTCTTCTAACAGAGGAAGAGGAAGAGGGGGTGAGGAAAAGTTTGGACTCATACGATTAACAAAAAAAGAAAGAAGTTTAGAGAATTTTACCATCTTTTTCCAGATTTAATAAAAGACAAAATCATTTTTTTCAGTATTACAAAATATACAGGAAACATTTTACGCACTCCTCAATTGAGGGTTTTAGAAGAAAAAACACCGCGTATATCTACTTATCATATTTTTTCAGAAGAGACAAATTACTAATATTTTTGATAATTCTTATTGATTCTGATGTGTATATTAGTTATGTGGTCAAAAAAACCCTGATCTTTTTTATATATTTAGGTAATTAGAATTTAAAAATTGGAGATTGTCACTTTTGTTAAAAAGTGGAGATTGCCAGTTTTGCCTCTACACCCCTCAATTATATTAAATCTTTGATAGAAAGGCATTTCGTCCATCTGTCTCTAGTGAGGGAAGACAAAAAAATATCATATTCCTTTATGAAAATCGATTTGCCTAATTTACCTTTAAAAATACAATTCTGCCATTGATACATATCACTAGTTCCTAGTCAAAAAGCCAACTGAAAAGACTCGAATGCAAAATTATCTCCCTTGTGAGTACGCACACTGCAACGCGCCGAAACGCGGGAGACGGAAAAAAGTTGCTAGAGAAGTCTTCCGACTTCTTGACGAAAATTCCGTGGCGCGCTTCTGCGCTGCGCGCTCTAATGTGCGTTGGTCCATTTAAATACATGGCAAGCAGACAAAAGAAATTTCCACATGGCGCCGCGCCGCGTCGCGCCGCGGTCTAGTGGGCGACAACCTTTATTCCTATAAATAACTATCCTACGATTGATAAGATTATATTTCGAAAAGTACGATAGTATTTAAAATTTAAAAAAGTCCCGTTTACATAAAAGTTTATTCCTTTAAAAATGATGTCAAACATCAAAAATACCTTAGTTATTTATTATATTACTAATAATAGCCGTGCTAAAATTTTATCTATGTAATATAATTAATATAAAGGTGACTAAAAAATAAATTATTATCGCAAAATAATCGTTGTGCGCAAAATATAATAATTTATTGCATGGCATTTCAATACCTCAAAATATTCACTTAACAAATTTGAATATAGGTATATGTATATATCAGAATACAGTTTTTTTTTCATTGTCGTCATAGTAATTTAAACTACAAAGGAAGGCACACACATAGATATGTTTATCTATTACTTTTACTGGTTTTTTATTATTGAGTTTGCATTCATTTGTTGTCAGGTAAGACAACTATACTTTTTTATAAACTTAGTCAAAATTGGTCTTATTTCTACTTAAACGGAGGCATGCTGGCTGTAGAAGTATTTAGGTGGATTTTAATGTACCTAGTTAAAAGTTTTAAGCTATTTCAGTTTTATTGTTTTGATACAATATATATTTTATATTTCATTCTAAATTTCTATTTAATTTCTTTTAATCTACTTACTTGGCGATGATATTTATTAAATATTATTAACATTTTTTTGTGATTAAATCATATGTTATATTTGTTATGATATTATGTTTTGTAATTCTAAAATACAAGGCCACAATCATAACAAATATATGAAGTAGCGTTACCCTGGTTTTAGATAATTTTGTCAATGCTTTGTTAAAGTATATTTTAGAAAATATAGTTGATATTTATTTAAATGTTATTTAATACATAGCATAAATTGGCGACGAGTAGTGGTCGTAAAGTTATAGAAGGGAAAATATAGGTAATAAAGGGATATAATTTTGAGAAAAAAAATGCCGTTAATCGGATCAATTCAAAAATTTATAGTATACAGGGTGTTACAAATTCGAGGTACGAGCATTGGTATCTCGGTAACCGTAGTAGATACAAACATGGTTAAATTGGGGCAAAGTTGCGCTTTGGATGCTCACCAAGATGCCATTAAAAAGTTTTAAAATTTTCAAGGATTGCTTTGTTATTTGGAAAAAACTGATTTTTTTGAAAATCAATTTTATTTTTTCCTGTCGTTACTTTTTAGAAAATCAAAAAACTAATTGCACATTCTCATAGCCACTTTATTGAAGATATCTGATAGTATTTTTAGATTTTCAAATTAGCTGATAAGTTGTGAGATACAGAGGCCAACTTATTTTTTTTCAATACGGACATGCATTTTTTATTTCAGATTTTGAAAGAACTTCTGATTACAATGATATGCCACACTTAATATTGCTTTTTTGTTTTGATATTTGAACACAATTTATTTAAAATAATTTCCTAATTTAAGTCCGGCTCTGTTTTTTTTAAATATTTAATCTATTCATCGTTACAATATTGATAAGCTTTCAAACTTAACAATGACGTGTGGTAAAACATTGAATACGGAAAATCAAATGCAATAAAATAATTAATATAAATTTAATATAATAAAAACAATAAAATCATTTTCCCGTAAGATGGATTGGAAATGTAGAGCAGTATGATGTCCAGCGAGGTTCCTGAACCTATCGCTATTACTTGACGTCATTTGAAAAAGTGTCAAATCAATTCATCTCAACATTTACAATAAAGGGTACAAAATGCATTCGGAAGTATAAGAAGAAAGTTTAAAGAACTATAAATAAAATTGTACTAAAATAAATAAATCAATTTAATATAATATCGCAATAGGGAGGGTGATAACCCTTTCGAACATGTAGAACATTAGAAACTAGTTTTTAGAAGTTGATTTATTTATAATAACTACGATTAATATTATGCATACTATTAGATCGCACACTGAGATTTAATATTATCAATAAAAAAAATTAGAAATGATATCTTTAAATTTCTGACCTGGATATTATTTATTTGAATCCTCCAATTGGATCGATTTTCCTTATTCACTGTTAATTACCGCTGATCAATATTATTGCCATGAATATAATCAGATTAAATCATTTAAGAAACCAGAGTCGGACTTGAAATTATTTTAAATAATAATTAAATAGTTTTGTTGCTGTTAAGGTTCCAAAAACAAAAAAAAGTATAAAGTGTGGCATATCATTGTATTCAGGAGACCGAGTTCTTTCAAAACCTGAAATAAAAAATGCAGGTTCGTTTTTAAAAAAAATAAGTTGGCCTCTGAGTCTCACAAATTATCAGCTAATTTGAAAATCTAAAAATACCAATCAATCCAATAGCCGTAATAAAGTGGCTATGAATGTGCAATTAGTTTTTCGATTTTCGAAAAAGTAACGACAGGAAAAAATAAAATTTATTTTCAAAAAAATCAGTTTTTTCAAAAAACTCAGCAATCCATGAAATTTTTAAAACTTCTTTAATGGCATCTTGGTGAACATCCTAATACGCAACTTTGCCCCAATTTAACCATGTTCGTATCTATTACGGTTACCGAGATACCAATGCTCGTACCTCGAATTTGTAGCACCCTGTATATACCTCAAAATCGGTAAAGGTTTTTTTTTGGGGTCGCTGATAATGAATCTGACTTCGGATGGGCAGAATTCAAACTGGCGGATCAAATATGGTCGACGCGAATTTAAAAAAATACAAGGACTTGGACAAAAGTTTGTATATGGGATTTTTTTGGGTCGCTACTACATTTTCCTGAATTTTTGCGGATTTTCACCAAGTTTTTGAGGTTAGAAAAAAAATGAAATGTGATGGCGTAATGCTGATAGCAGATTTGTGTTAAGCGTCGAAAAATACCATAAGATATGATTTTTTGTGTGGCTGTGTTATTTAAATAAGTATACAGGGTGTCCCAATATTTCGTGGACATAGAACTACTACGTATTTTTCGAATCAAAATAAGTTCAGTGGACACAATTTACATTTATACAGAAGTGCTTTGTTTGTCCGTGAGGGCATCAAACAAAGCACAAATACATTTATTCAGAAATTTTAAGAACCGTTATTCCGATTTGAATAAAATTTTAGCTGTCTATGTTTTGCTTAGTGCTATAACATTTGACTTTCACAAAAATCAAGAAATAGTAGGGGAACAGTGAAAACTATCACCACCCTTACATACAAAAAGAAAATATTTTAGTATAAATATTTTCGAACTCCACCGACGAGCGATTTTTATTTGGGACAATGGTCCCTCTAATATTTACTACATTTTTTTCTCTTAAATAAACGCTCTCGCGCAATGTAGAAAGAAAAAGAAAACAATGTATTTCCAAAGGATTTTTCCAAAAAATGTTTTTTGTCACCTCAAGCTATGGGGACGCATATATGTATATTATGCTCTAATAATCTAGTTGGCGAAAATATGAAACTTTATGTTATCACAAATTATATTTGACAATAAGTTTCTCATAATTTTTTTTAAATAATAAATTTTAAAATAATTAACGCTCCGGTTTATTTTTTATTGATGCCCTCTAACGGGCACACGAAGCCGAGGGATCTCACTAGGGTAAAAAAGGTACACGTATTGCCAAAATATATATACAAGACTGCCAGTGACTGCCGACGACTGCCAGTGACTGCCGACGACTGCCAGCGACTGCCAGTGACTACCGACGACTGCCGGCTCAGCGGTATCCGCTGAGCCGGTTCAAGTTCCGGGCCTTTGTCGACCCTTGACATATATTATTTATCAACACATGTACAGGGTGGGCCAAATTGGACGCATTTAAAGGGAAACACCCTTTTCTGTAGGAGATAGACGAAGACTAATATCGGTGTCTTTAGCTTAATTTTTATCAAAAACATGCGGTGAAAACCGCAAATAGATATCTGTTACCGTTTCGGAATTACGGGATGTTTTTCAAAAAAGTGCATTTTTAACAAATCACTGTAACTTTTTTGCTATAGAAAATTTTGTATTTTTATGAAAACATTTCCAAAGCACTTTTTTATGTAGAATTACGGTTTACGGTTACGGTTTAAGAATGTTTTTTTAAATTAACAATTTAGGAATTATGAATAGAAAATTTGATTTTTTATATGGGACACCCTGTATATTTTTAATTCATTGAAAATAATTTAACTTGATATTTTGCTCGATTTCTCTTCTCTCAAGATATACAGTTTGTAAAAATTCGCCCACTTTGAATAAATAGGCTTTGAACGGCGGAATAATATTTGCAATGAGAGATGCAGAATTTTATAACAATTTAAATTACATTTAACAACATCAACACATTTAAACTATATCTAATAACAATAAAAATTAATATCAAACCAAGATTTGAGATTTTGGTTGTTTGATATGTCAACCGTCTTCTGTTATGGACAGACGGGTCAGTTTTTGAACATTTCTCGCGGAATTAATTATGTAACTCAGTGGGAATGAAAGATACCCTCGCATAAGTAGGTTTAATTCTTGCCTAGATTATAATGGGCAATTTAAAAATAAGAACCTTTATTCTTCCGGAAAAATAAAAATCCATAGGAAATAAGTCCGCTGCGCCGGCCTTGATATCCAACGCCTGGGATCTTGGTTAGCTATTTAATTATTCTCGAAATTGGCTGCAAAAATTTGCCGATAACTTCAGCATTCTGAGGCGGTGCCTTGTCTTGCTGGGAAAATATGTTTTCGTTTTCGAATTTTTCGAATATACAGGGTGTCCCAGAAATAAGTGGAAGTATTTTAAGGGGGTGGTAAATCTCGATAAAAGAAACATTTTCTCTTTTTCGTTTTTCAAATAATTCCAAAATAACGGAGTTATTTTACTTTGACAATTTCGAAAAAACATGATTTTTTGCTTAAATTTTGAGAACCGCTGCATGTTTTCTGGATTTTTTTTTTGTAAATTTAATCTACTACCTATGTTGCTATATTATCAAGAAATTATGTTTTTTAATTAAAAACTAAAAAAAATTCAAAAAATTTTTTGTGAAAAAAACCTCATAGGCGTGTTTCTGGGGTTGAACTATACTACCAGTTAAAATACTTGCACTTATTTATGGGATGTATGTTATCAAAAAGCAAGTGCCATCTTTCGTGGGCAGATTCCTCCCGTAAAAATAAGATTTATTTTTCATATCAACATAGGTCCGATTCTGCTTTGTTTTGGAGCTACAGGGTGTTAAAGTCTTAATATTTTTTCGATTTATTGTAATTTTCTTCCAAGTGCTTTTAGCGATTCGAATGAAATTTTGAGGGTAAAAGTTACTATTAATGCGGTATATTTTAACGCTAAAAAAGTATCAACATATTTACAAGGGACGTGCATATGGGTTTTCTCTGGAATATTTTTCTAAAAAAAGCATGTACGCCACTGCCCTTTTTCTCTTGTTAGCGCAATAGTGTAAGTCGTTTAATGCC